ACAACACATACACATATCATACAGTTACAATTGCTCAAACTCAAAACTTTTCTTTTTATGATTGAGGCAATTTAATGAGGAACTTATTAGAACGTGAAAAAGACTACTTTGGGAGGAGCAAAATTAGACAGTGAAAATGTTGAAAATAATGAATGCGAAACATCTTAATTATTGGGAGGGATACGGCAAATGAATATAAACATTGGATCCAAATAATTGCAGAATATGAGATTAGTGGGAAATGATGGTGTCCAAATTCATTTTTAACCTGTTGAGTGGTGACCATTGCCAAAAGAGAGAATGGGAGACAAGTAAAGGAAGATGGAGACATCAAGACATGGATTTATCAGCAACTTTCATGTTACATCAATTTGTTTTAAAATATCACAACAAATTCATAATTCATTTTCTCTCATGGTTACATTCTCATCCAAAACCTATCATTGTAGAGGGAGGCAGTGGATTCCAGTGTAAGAAAATAAAGACAAGCTTCTAGATTTTTTTTATATAGTTTTGTACTAAAAAGAAAGGTAGATTTGCTAAGCAAAAAAACAAAACACCAGTCCTTCTGCTTGGCTGAGTGCCCACCACACCCCCATGTCGGATTCATGCATTTTTCTTTTGAAAAGATAACCACTTTTTTTTGTCGTAGAAAAATGCATACCGGCGTCCAAGTATTTCTATAAAATTTTATCATTTATGAGAACTAAAATATAATTTTATTATTTTAAGATGAGTTAAAGACTCTTGCCGACATTTTCTTTCATTTGAAAGTTCTAAAAGAAACTCTAAAGCTACATTCTTTTTTAATTCTTATAGCTGATGACATTAGTCGGTACCTTTTTTCCTTTAATTTTTTAATCACATCTTTACTTTTTATTTGCTTTATTTTAATTTTTAATAATTATACATTTATAATATATTTTTCTCTATCTTTATAACACGTTTAATTCTATCTTTTAGCACATTTTTATTGATTAATTGTTGTTTTCATTTATTTTTTTCTCTCTAAATTGAATTTAATACCGTCATAATTAATCAAGATGATATTTATTTCTTATCATGTTGATCTTCTCTGCTTTGATTCATGGATTAGATTTGGTTATGTTCAGTTATGTTCGTGAACGTTCAGTTATGTTCGTTTATATTTGTTCGGTTATGTTCGTTTATGTTCATTCATTTATGTTTAAGCCAATCTTCTTAAATCAGTTTTGGTGACTAATTTGTAAGTATCTTAAAAATATTAATTAATATGATATTCTGATGACCAACCCCATAATTAACCCAATTTTATTTGGAAAACCCAACAATATTAACATGGTTTAGTTCTTTTTGAACGATCCATAAGCTGCATACCCAACACCGTCAACATCCACTGTGCCGGAACCCTATTTGACTGCGCCACCAATTGGTTATCCGATGAGCAAAGAGGAGTCCCAGAAACCGGTTGCTTTCGAAACCAAGTCCAAAGGTGATGGATTCCGGAAGGGATGTTAAGTATTCAGCACCGTTTCTTCTACTCAAATAATCTTCTTTTCTTTCATATATAATGGAGTATTCGAATTTACAAGTAAATAGTGATCATCCAGCAACTCAAGTCAGCTTACTTTGAACTCAAGAATCCAATAATCGAGCTCTTAATTTTTTTTGAGTTCGAGCCTTTTTCGAGTTCGAGTCGAGTTTCAATATTATATTTCAAGTTCGAGTCGAGCTTGATAATTTTAAGCTCGCGATTTTTCGAGTCGAGTCAAGCTGATTTTGAAAGTTTTCGAGATCGAGTCGAGCTCAGCAATACTCGAGCTCGACTCGACTCGTTTACACCCCTAGGTAGGGTCTCCAATGTTTATGTTCGTTTATGTTCGTGTTCATTTATGTTCGTGTTCGTTTATGTTTGTGTTCGTTTATGTTCGTTTATTTATTAAATGAACGAACATGAACAAGTTATATTCCTTAATAAACGAACATGAACAAAAAACATTTTGTTCGTTTATGTTCGTGTTCGTTTATGTTCGTTTATTTATTAAATGAACAAACATGAGCATACCTTCGTTCGTGTGCGTTCGGTTCGTTTACAAGCCTAAGAATCAATATGAAGTCACATTCACAAGAATCCTGAAACACATGCATTCCAAATTCGACCTTATCACATTTACCTTATTTCCCTTTCCCCCATTCCTAACATTTTGTCCTTTTGTATTTGTTTTTTATTATTATTTAAATTCCTTAGCTATATATATTTGGTCAGATCAACATCAATCATTGGACAATAATTATGAATACATTATTTTCCATTCAATTTGCTTCTTTTTTTTAAGGTTTCTATTATTCAACCTTCATTTTTCTTTTATTCTAACTTTAGCTTAAATTAAAGAAAATATAATTAAGAAATAATTTTTAAAAGTATTGGTGTCCATCCTTAATCTCAGATACTCGTTAACAAAATGTTTAAACATATAATGAAATTATTTTAAAGGAAATTAGAAGGTGAAATAATGTTGGTTTTAAGCGACATAATGGGTAGGTGGGATTAGGTTTTGAACATTGATGTCCACTTATTAATAAGTTGCCAGTTATTTAGAGATTAACCCTAAACCTTCAATGTGCTAATTCAACCCAAGCCGACAGTATAAGATCCTTGAATAGATACGTCCCAGTACAAAATAAGAACTAACTTTTAGCCTTTAATTTACTTTTGAGGAAAGTATATGGAAGAGCCAATTAATTAGATAATCTATTAAGAATGATAAATTTGAATCCTAATAGAGACGGGACCATATGCTCAAATTTATGTAACATCAAAGCAAATATGATGAATTTGAATCTTAAAATTGACAAACCATGCAAAAGCACATGTATGAAAGGAAACGTAAGATGAGTTTCGAGCTTCATTTGTTTCTTCCTACAATCACTTCTAAAAAAAATGAATCAATATCACCGATGATTTTTTATATATCTTTATATTGTTGGTCTTATTTGTGTAAAGCAATTAGAATTGTTTTCGTTATTAGCAGTTATAGATTGTAGGCAAACCCCACCAACTTTGGCACAAATGGTGAAAGTGTAATTAAATGCTAGCCAACTTTGAATGGAGCAGATATGGTTATATTGTTAGCCCCATAGTACCCTACCATCACAAATTGAAGTCCTTCAACTGCAAGTCATTGTGTGGGTCTCAAGTGTTACACAAAAGAGATTCATCTCTTTGGGTTTTTTACATCACATTGTTTGAAGCTTAAAGCGATATATGTGAATATTATTATACTAGAGTTAACAATTTGATTTCAAGGATTAATATGAGAAAAAAATTAAAATTAAAATTAAAATGAAAAAATAGTTAAATTCAGATACCAAACGAACCTTCGTATATCCAATAGATTGACATTGCTTACAACGATTAAACAACTGAAGGGAAAAAAAAAACAAGTTTTGTTTTTAAACTCAATAAAACTTTTTTGAAAAAGACAATGAATGGCGAAAGCAAAAAAAAAACTTCTTGATTGATTTGAAAATGAGATATGATTTACGCTATATATATTTATACTTTATAATGTCACTTGCAATGATTTTCGCCACACTGAAAGGGTTTCAATTCCTTCAACATATATCAAGTAACTTCTCCAATACCTTAAACATATATCAAGTAACTTCTCCAATACCCAATAACTAAAGATCCATGTAATTTGATTGTCAAAATCCAAATTTGGACCTAGAAAATTCTTTAAATTTTTTTTAAATTAAGTAATGATTTAAATTGGATTTTTGAGGATTCAATTGTCCTAATTATGGAAATTTAGAGACTTATTAGAAGACAATTGGAAATTTAGAGACTTATTAGAAGTCAATTGAAAATGTTAGATACTTAAACATAAAAATATGAATAGTTTAAGCTCTTTTTGTAATTGGGCCTTTAATTTAAGTTGTTAAATTTTTATAATCAATTTGACTTAGATATGAGATTATTTAAGCCATGATATTTAAAATTATACTTTAGTTTGTATATCAATTTTATCATTGATTTTTTATTAAAAAAACATAATTTTATCAATAAATTTTTTACGTTGACTTTTTAATCATTGAACCTTAAATCATTAATATTTTGGTACTAAGGTGGAAGTTAAAAATGTTTACTCCCTTAAAATTAATATTTTTCATTCATTTTCAATCGTCATTGGAAATTGATATTCTAGAATATCTTTTACGACTATTTTAGATATTGATAAATTTATCTCATTGTTCTCTATCACTTTATTATTTTAAAATTTTCCTAAAGTATGTTTAAAATTCATAAAATTAAATTAAAAATTTATCATTTTTTGGATTGAGGGGATTTCTCATATTTGAGGGGGTTTGTTTGAAAATTTGAAAGGCGGCAAATGCAGAGGAGTAATTGAGTGGCATCTGGAGTCTTCAAATGAGTCGGCTAACTTGCCCTATATATGTGTGTTCCATTAGTTTTAGATGTTATACATGTATAAGGAAAATTAGAGAGAAAAAAGTGAAGCTGAGTAAAGTTATGGTTGTGCGTGGCATTTGTAAAATTAGTCGAAGTTAGTGTCGTATTTTGTTTGAAATGATAATTTTGCGTGAGTTATAAAGTTTATCGAATACCCTTATCGTTTTCAACAAAATCAAAACTTTTTTAAAGTCCAATGACAAAATCAAAAACACATACTAAAGTCCAATGACTAATAAAATAATTCACCATTTAAACTATTTGGACTTGGGTTTTATTTTATATCATTTTTACCTGCCCGGTAAAAGATTAAATTCATTTCATTAATGTAGGACTGTTCTTGAAATTATAGGCATTTCATTCAAGAATCATGAGTCCAAACAAACAATCAAAACGACAATCTAGCTAACAAAGCTACAAACTGAATATATATTGTATTTGCATTTGCATGTGATTTGAAGTTGCATGGCATGTACCATGTGGGAGTAGCCCTCATATGGGGTCCAAATACATCGGCAACTAGAAGCTAGGGTTTTTCTTACGGAGCTTTAACAGTTAAAAACAGCTGTTTAAAAAACAAAAGGAAAAAGCAGAGGCATTTCATTCGCAGCCAGTACTACAGCATGACGAAGACAAAAGAGCTTTTATAACAAATTACCCCCCCAACCCACCAATCCTACTGTACAAGAAAGATCCAAAAAAAAAAGAAGGAACGCTTGAACACGTTAAAGTTCGAGCATACCCCTCGTAAAGAAAACACAAAATAGTAAACTACCACATTTCATGGAATTTAGAACATAAACCAACTCACTCGAAACATTAAACATCTTAATTGCTAAGAAGATCTGGTGGTGGTGATTTAGGTGCTGGAGGCTGTTGTTGGTCTTTTGGATCCCTTGTAATTGTTGCAATCGTTGCACTAGGAGAATCTAAACAGGTACCGGGTGATGGTGAGGACTCAGTGACCACGGTATCTCCCTGCTGCTTTGTGGCGGGTGATTTCAGGAGTTCCATTAGAATTTGAACCACTTCCCTCATTGTTGGTCTCTCTATGGCCTGTTCTTCGACGCAGAGCATCGCAACATAGAATACGTGCATCACTTCGTGGAGAGGAACTGATGAGAGTCTTGGATCAAGGATTTTGAGAACCCCTTCCTTCTTTGAATCCGTCATTTTTCGAACCCATTGAACAATGTCCACCCCATCACCAAATTCACCCACCGGTTTTCTACCGCAAACAAGTTCTAAGAGGACTACACCAAAACTATAAACATCACTCTTCTCGTCCACCTTCAGCGTGTAGGCATATTCTGGAAAAGAAGAAACAGGGGAATGAAATGAAATTCCAAGTCAAATTACTATTACATCATTTGAAACATGCGGTTAGAGCTACCGAATTTTATCTTCTTGGCAGGAAGTTTGGCTGGTCAAACTTAACTAGATTGATGTACTTTGAAAGCTGCCTTTATTGATTGCAATGAAGAAAATATAAACTTCCTTTAACACGATTTGGGAGCATAAATCATGGGAAACCCAAAGTCAAACTAATGTACATACGAAATTATTGGTAGGTCTTAACGCACGATCCAACTTGAATGAAAAAAAGAGTCAAAATAAGAATCGAATTCTTTGAACTTTTTTTCCTTAGAATAGTATAAAATAAAATAGACATTGAATTAGAGATTAAGTATATACCTGGAGCAATGTATCCGTACGAACCAGCTATGGCGGACATGCATTCAGATGTGCCGGAATCTTGCAGAAATTTGGCAAGGCCAAAATCAGCGACATGGGCTTCAAAATCTGAATCGAGGAGGATATTGTTTGATTTCACGTCTCGGTGGATAATTAAAGGGGAACAATCATGATGAAGATAGCATAGTCCCTTGGCAGCCTCAACAGCGATCTTATATCTCGTATCCCAGTGTAAATGACCCCCTTTCTTGCCATGAAGAACCTCTCCTAAACTCCCATTAGGCATATACTCGTAGACCAAAAGATTTGTTTCATGATTTGAGCAAAAACCCATGAGTCTCACGATGTGCCTGTGCCTAATCCTGCCCAGTGTCTGTATCTCAGCGTTGAATCCATGATCATGAGAAGAACCCCGGCTCATTGCCGGTAACCTTTTAACCGCGACCTGATCACCACTAGGCATAGATCCCTTGTACACAATCCCAGCACCTCCTTTTCCAATTATGTTATCCTCCTTCAAACAATCCAAGACATCATCACAAGTGAAATCCAAGCGCTGGAAAGCAGTTAACTTCCAAGCCCGGAAATCGCTTGCTTTTTTCAACGATCTTGCTTTGATTATGGCTGCGACTACAAACAAGATGGAGAAAACAAGCAAGCCTATAACGAGCAAAAGCTTTAAAGAAGCAGAGAGTCCTCCTTTAACATGAGTTTCATGGATTCCATTAGCAACCCCATCTTTACAAGACCCCAAATAAGGACCACAAAGTTCAGGGTTCCCCAAAAATGAGGTGTAGTTGAAGTAACTAAACTGACCACTGCCCGGAACCAAGCCAGAAAGATTGTTATATGAGAAATCAACTGATGTTAAACTTTGCATAGTGGATATTGATGAAGGAATATTACCCATGAGATGATTTCTCGACAGATTCAGGTAGTTTAATATCCTCATACCTGTGATCTCAGTGGGAATTTCACCCGAAAGCTCATTTCGACTAAGATCAACAAAAGTTAGCAGCTTGCATTTGCAAATCCCAGGGGGCATCGACCCTGAAAACTTGTTACGACTAAAATCAATCTTTGAAAGTTGTTGCAACTTCCCAATCTCAGCTGGGATTTGGCCCGAAAACTTGTTCCCATCAAGGAGAAGCTTCTGAACTCCTGAAAAGTTACCGACACTTGCTGGTAAAGCCCCGGAAAGCAGATTGTTCGATAAACTAATTTGCCCAAGATTCGCAGAAACGGAAGAATCAGTAACCGGGAACTCCCCAGTTAAATAGTTATCCTGCAGTTCAACTTGTGTAAGCTGCGGCAAACCGAGAAGGCCTTTGGGAATGGATCCGTTGAGATAATTTTCACCCATACGAATCCGACTGAGGGACTTACATTTCCCCAACGATTCTGGAATTGGGCCAAACAAGAAATTTCCCAAAGTAATCAACGTTTGCAATGTGTTGCCGGAACACATATCTGGCGGCAAAGTCCCCGTTAACTTATTCGAGGAAAGATCTAGGACCTGAAGCTTTTTGTTACTACCCAACTTCTGGGGAATGCTCCCCGTGAAGTTATTTTCCCATAACTGTAATACCTCCAACTCGGGCAACAAGCCAATAAACTCAGGAACCTGTCCGTGAAGCTTGTTTCTGAAGAGGTTGAGCAGAGTCAAGTTTTTAAGCTCAGCGAAACTCTCAGGAATCTCACCGGTAAACATATTGTTGGATAAATCCATGGATTTCAAGCTTTTTAAGGTTCCCAGCTCGGGAGTTAAGGAGCCAGACAGTGTATTGACCTGGAGAAACAACGTATCGAGCTTTTGTAACTTTCCAATCTCCGGTGGTATTTCGCCGGATAACATGCAATTAGCGGCGTCGAAACGAACGAGTTCCGACAAGTTCCCGATCTCCGGTGGCAAACCACCTTCAAAAGTATTGAAGTAACCAATGTACAACTGCTGCAAGCTGCTTAAGTTACCGATTTCAGGTGGGATTTTACCACTGAGTTCGTTACCCGATACAGCTAAATATTCGAGATGCTCCCAACGGCCATAACTTGACGGGATCTGACCGCTGAAATAGTTTCCTCCCAAATGCAAGTGTCGCAGATTGGGAAGCTCCGTGACGGAAACCGGTAACTCCCCCGTCATGTTATTGTTGTATAAATCAAGTATTTGGAGGGCTTTCAGCTGGGAAAGTTGGGTAGGAAAGGAACCGTTGAAAACATTGTTGGAAAGGTTGAGATAACGGAGATTGGAGAGGGAGGCGAGCTCCGTCGGGATTGGCCCGGAGAGATGGTTAGCGGCGACGGAGATGATTTGGAGGAAACGGAGGTGGGCAAGGGAGGGAGAAATAGATCCGGACAGGGTGAAGTTGGTCAGGTCGATGGATGTCACGTGAAGACGGGTGTGATCGCATGTGACTCCTGTGAATGAGCAGAGCGGGGTAGTTGCATTCCAGTTGGAGAGGTGAAATTGAGGGTCGTCGGTAATGGAGGATTTAACGGCGATGAGGGCGAGGAGCTCCGAGATGGCTCTTGCGGCGGAGGAGTGTGAAATGTGGAGGAGAAGAAAAAGGAGGAGGGGGAGCAACCTCATTTTTCTCAGATATCTTTTCTCTTCTCTCCCTGGAAGGGAATTGTTAGGGAAGGGAAAGTTGAAATGAAAGTGAAGAAAGAGTGAGCCAGGCAAGGTTATAGACCTAGTGCGATTTCGGTTTTATTTATCTTTTGCATTCTTTAATACTATTATTTTTTTATACCAATTGGCTTAAACATGATCTTTACATTTAAATAATAATAATCAATTTATTAGTTAAATTTTTATTTTAAAATTTTTATTTTTCTAATCGTTTGGGACGATGTGCCACATTATAGGATTATCATGTAATATTTTTATTTATTTTTTCATTAATATATATTACGTGGTAAAATTGATGTACCGTATAATGTTAGATTTAAATATTTATGTAATAGAGGCAATAAATAATTTGATTCCTACTATATAAAAATAATATATGTCAAAATTGAAATGATATTTATGTCCTAAATTAATAGTTAAACTCATAAAAAGATTTAGTTGATACAATGATTTGGGAATTTAATTTTAACATTTTTAGTATGATTCATAATCGAATCGAAAGTTTTAAAATTTAAATGTTAGTTTGTTAAAGTTAAACCATAAGGAGAATGTAAGGGACCAACAACCTACCAAATCCAAGGAAGCTAACTTGTTGAAAATATTCCAATTATTTGACTCAAAATAGAAACATAAATCATTTATTATACTATTTTAGCCAGCTAATAAAGTCAAATTACTTGGAAAGTAAAATAGTAAGAGAATGGGTAAAAATACTTTCAACAAATGAAATTCCCTCTGTTAATTTTTTTATTTTACAAAATTTTTAATAAATAATTAAAAATTTGGTGACCAGAAAATTAAAGGAATAGATGATGGGATTGTATAAAGGTACAAAAAAATATTTGGTGTGTTGGGGGGGAGGGTTTGTTTGGTGATCCATTTATTACTATTGTTGTGGATGTGGGTGAGTAGTTCTATATCATATGGTCTACGATTAGAGCTGATTTGTTTCACACCAACACAAGACCTATAATAACTAGCAATCAAAGAAGCATAGAGGTTTTAACATAATTATATTGATTCAAATTAAAATTTAATGGAACTTATTATTAATTTTGTTTTTAAACACAATGATGTATTTTAGATTAATTAAAAAATATAATTAAATATATTAAGGTAAGAAGAAAAAGTTAAAAAATTATGTCTATCATGTTAAGAAAATTATATTGAAATTTTTAAACCTCACTTATAAATTTTTTAATCCGCCGTTATAATAACATTAATGGTGTGAATATTTGAGCAATTATTGAGTGGAAGAGGCAATTTACGTAGACCAGTAGTGACATGCGGGTGCGGAGGTTGACCCTTCTATTGCCACATTTATTCTTTTGTTTTTATTCTCACATGTTATCTCTTCTGCTTTTATTTCCCTTTCTTTGAAACAAGGCGTTTTTTCAATATATTTATCGATCTAACACTGGTCAGACTATATTTCTTGATCTAACACTTTTTACAGTAAGGCGCGCTCCTGCAGCGCGCTATACGCTGATTTGGCGCCACGTGAGGTAAGACGCGTCCTCTGAAACGCGTCTTATGCTGCCATGGATATACGTGGGTATAGCGCGGCCCCTGGGGCACACCTTACGCCACGTAGGGTATAGCACGGGTCAGGGGCCGCGCCTAACCTTTATAATTATATATAGCGCGTGACAAGTACCGTGCCTTGTATAATTGTTAAAAATTTCTCGGCTATAAATAGCCTTCTCCCCCGGGTTAAGTTCCTCACATCTCCTCACATCTCTCCTCTCAACTTATAAATTAATACGACAATTCCGTCAACGAGACAATAATTCTGACAATTTTCTCATATTTTATTCAAAAGTTCGTGCGATTTTTCGTTATAAGGTAATTTTGTGATAAATTTTTTTATTATATTTATTGTTTATTATGATTGTTTGAAAAAATATTATACTAATTGTTGTCAATTAATTTCTGTGTTTGTAAAATTAGAAAGCGGGAATATACGTCGAAATAGTTTTGCGGTACAGGTAATAATATAAAATTATATTATTTAAATTATTTACGTTTATGTGTAAAAAATTTATTCTGTTATATTTTCGTTCATATATTATTTATTTAATCAGCATTGTTTCAGTTGTTTTTTTGCATATATAATATTGTCGCACTTTTAAACTCAAAGAATGTCATGACTTTCAGCTATTGTTTTTATGATGGTGAAATTCAAGAAGATGAAACCGGCGTTGTTTTCGTATCAAATGAGCGTGTTAAAATATCATTGAAGAGAAACATAACTCTTGAGGAGCTGATAACGAAGATTTCGAGGAAGATTCATGTTGGAAGTAGTAGAAGAATATCGTCGTTTCAGTACAGATTTCCAATATCATTGTTGTCATTAACTTATACAGCGTTCGAACTTTTGAGCAATGATGATGTTGAAATGATGGTTGAAGCTCAAAGTAATTATTCAGATGCCGATATTGAAATGTATGCAAATTTTATTTAAGTGTGTGATGTTCGGGGTCAATCATTAAGCTCCCACTATGGGCTGGCTGAACAAGTTGATCAAGTTGAAAGCCCGACGACAGTAATGTGTAATGATTTTAATGCCATAATGGGGAGACATTCATCCGTAACTCTTTACGATATGTACCGAGGTGGGTCGACGAACAATCCGTATGGAAACATCGTGTCCAGTTCAAGGGGAATGCATTCATCTGTAAATTCGTTTGACCTTAATATGGAGATGCCATCGACGCAACCATCTGTGCAGTTTCCATTTGACACGATGGCTTCAAGCTCCAGGGGGAGGCATTCGACTGTGAGATTTTTCGATCTGAATGTCGATATGCCTTCCAGTTCAAGGTGAAGGTGTGCAAGTAGTAGGTTCTTTGACCTAAATGTGGAGAGCATGGAGGAACCATCATCTCCACCAGAAGAATCGCTTCGTGAGCCTGGCCCGGATGGTGTTGAGACTGGATTATTCATTCACCCATAATCATCGCAATTCAACTCCGATGGTGGTGATGATGTAGATGAAGTTCCAGAAAATGTGGCACAAACTGACCCTCCAGTACACATGTATGAAGCTGATTACGATGCAATGTACGGGCCATAATTTGTGGATATGCCTCATCTCGGTGACTATGGATATTACTCATCAAAAAATAATGGTGAGTTATCTTTAGGCATGGAGTTTTCAAGCAAGGAAGAAGTAATGATGGCTATAAAAAATTACAATATCTGTAATTATGTTCAGTCCTGAGTCGACCGCTCCACGATCAAAAAATATGAATGCTACTATGCCCTACACGAAAACAGATGCAATTGGATGGTTCGCGTATTGAAGAGGAAGAGGAAAACAAGAGATGGGAACTAACAGTATACAACGGTCCTCACACATGTTGTGCTGGAGGGGTCAACCAAGATCATCTCAACTTGGACTCTGAAGTGATATGCCAAGCCATCATGCCCATGGTAAAAGCAAGCTCTCATATAGTTGTTGTTGTGTTGATTTCAGCTATACAATCGCAGTATGGGTACACTGTCTCCTATAAAAAAGCTTGGTTGGCAAAACAAAATGACATTGTCAAACTTCATGGCGAATGAGATGCATCTTACAATGAACTTCCAGGCTGGTGCGGAGGTTGAATCCTGGGATAATTATGGACTTCGAAACCTCCTATGCATACCATAATGATCAAGTTCTCCGCGATCAATGCCAATTCTACCGGGTTTTTTGGACTTACCCACAGTGCATTAATGCTGTCAAATACTGCAAGCCTGTGGTCCAGATCGACGGGACTTTCTTGTATGGAAAATACAAGCAAGTTTTATTAATTGCAATTGTCCAAGATGACAATCGCAACATTCTTCCAGTTGCTTTTGCTCTTGTCGAAGGAGAAGATACAGATTCTTGGGCTTGTTTCCTCCGAAATTTACGTGCACGTGTTATCACGAGGGAAAACATCTGTGTCATTTCAGATCGCAGAGCTGGGATCAAAGCAGCAATGTAGTCTTTGGGTCCAATGTGGCAACTACCCTTTATCCAACATAGGTATTGTCTCCGACACATTGCTGCGAACTACCATGGAAGGTACAAAAAGAATGATGAGCGTCAATTAATTGTACGCATGGATAAGTGAAACTGATGTAGTTTGTTTTCTTTCGATCGTTTTAATTTTGCAAAGAAAGCAAGTTAGTAAGTTATACATTTTTTGATCAGGTTAAGAACAACTTCCTCGAACGTTTGAATCAATGCTTCAAGATTTGCGGGCGAAAAACGAGAAAGGATATGATTACATCAGCCTCATCGATAAAGAAATGTGGACGAACGCATATGATACTGGATATCGATATGGACAAATGACGACCAACTTGGCAGAGGCAATCAATTCAACTTTAAAGGGTGCACGTCACTTACCAGTAGCGGCTTTGGTAAAGACTATATATTTTCGTTTGGGGGTGCTTTTTGCGAAGCTCGGGGGACAAGCTTAAACCTGGATGCAAGGAGGTCATGTCTATCACCCTAGATTAGTTGCAGATCTACAGAAAAATTTTTTGCATCAAATGGAATGTCTATAACAAGCTTCTCTAGAAGGCATGAAATGTTTCGTGTCACAGAGTTGTCGCAACCTCTTCAAGGGATTGAAGTTGTGTCGTTAAGAGTAAATCTAAGGGACAAAACGTGTGACTGCGGGTTTTTTCAAGCTCTTAAATATCCATGCTCTCATGTGATAGCAGCTTGCTCGCATACACGTCAAGACTATAACCATTTTTTGGATCTCGTATACCTACTATCTGCAGTTTTTAAGGTATACGAATTTAAGTTTCCCCCTATATGTAATGACAAAGACCCTGATGAGGTTCAAGATTGGCTTCCGATTGTACCAAATCCAAGTTTATTGAGGGAGCGTGGTCGTCCAAAATCCAATCGAATTCATTGCGATATGGATATTCGAGAAAGATCTAGACAAGACAGAAGATGTAGGCATTGTAGAAACCCAGGACACACTAGAAAAACATGTCCATTTCTGTTGCCATCAAGTAACAATTGATGAGGAAATGATGTATTTGTTTATCAAATAATAATTCTTGTACTTTAATTTG